GCTAAGAATATATTTTTTATTATAAACTGCATTATATAACTTTAACTTTAAAAATCATAAATAAAACGAAGATTTAAAAAAAAGTAAAGACGCTACCAAAAATTACGAGATCACTATTATAGACATTTTTATTTGAGAAACAAAAAGTGTTGAAAAAACTTACTGAAACACAGTTTGCAACAAATGAGGAAATTATTCTTCAGTTTCATTACAAGTGTGATTAAAACATTAAACTGATTAAAAGATATCGTTCAATATATTAACCAAGTAATTAAATTTTAGTTTGAAAAACAAAATTAATTAAATCTAAACTTAATCTTAATATCTCAGCCTGATGTGTTTGTCATGAAATATGTCGTCGTCATATCCTTCATCGATCCACAGTTTCTAACAGTTCTAAGGACATAATGCTTGTTTAGAGCATGATGAAATCATTTTATCTAGTACAACCCATCAAAGTTTTGGTGGGAGTATTTTTGTCGCCATTTTGACGCCTGAGTAACTCACAGTTTACGCCTGAGTTATTCAGGCGTCAAAGTGGTGTCAAAAATACTCCCACCAAAACTTTGATTGGTTGTACTTCCCAAAAAGAAAAGATTTTATCATGCTCTAATTTAGCAATATGTCCTTAGAACAGCATCTTTTTTGCCATATAAAGAAGCAGTAGCTTGATGGAGGATATGACGGCGGCATATTTCATGACAAACACATCAGGTTTGCTAAATAATCTATAGTTAGAGTTTTTTTTATTTTTAATGAATTTTATTTTTGTTTATTTGACTTTGTTAACATGACTCTTTTTACTCTGCCTCTGATATGAGGCTACATTAAATAGTTTTAAAGCAATTAAAAAAAAGTTAAAAATATTATTAGCTAAATATTAGCTAAAAACGACTTTTAAAAAAATGCTAAAAAAGTTTTTTGGATGAAAAAAATTTTATTTGTTCCATTTTGAAGAAGAAACATGGAAACAATCTAAATTCATACAATTCAGATAAACAATTTTTAAATGACCAAATAACGAAACGTAAAATGATTCTTGGTTCAAAGGATTTAGCATATTTGCGAAAGCTGAAAAAGATAGAAGAAAGAAGAATGTGATATTTTACATTTTTTAAGCAACATGAGGATCAAACTGAGAAAATTGAGTTTTTATCATCAAAACAAAGTGAGGTCTCTTCTTGTCAGGATTCCGACTATTCTAAAATTTAAAAACACTCCGGCACAAACGTTAGGTTTCGTTAAACACAGGGTTCAATTAAATTACAGCTTGCATCTTTATTTAATTATTTTATAACACATAAAATACAGCTAAGTACTAATATTTTATTTTATTTATGTAATATTTCAGTCTGAATAGTTCAGACCGTCATCAGACGTAAAATTAAATACAATAAAAATCTCACAAAAAAAAAAAAAAAAAAAAACGTATGTAAAAAACCGTTATAGAAGACATTGATGTGTGTGCATCTTGAAGACATATTTACGAGCTTACTGTAAACATTTTTTAGAAAAATTTCACATTGGTAAAACTTATGATCCTGAAAATCTGATGCTCAAAGTTTTCCAAGCTAATTGGAACGCAGCAAAGGAAACTATGGATAAAATCAGTAAGAAATCAGTAAAATGGCAGAATTTATTTCTATATATTATACTGTGTGGTTTTGCGTTCTTCTTTAGTTTCCTCTGCACATTATCAAGGATTAAAATTACGTACTGGCAGATGGTCCAGTATAAATGTTGGGTAGAATCTTATGACCAGGAGCTAATGATGTAGTAGAAGAAATTGAAGAAGCATTGAAATCAATGGAGAGACAGACGTGGTATTTGAATCAAACCTTGATTCCATTATGTCTCGCAGATAAAGAACTTGAAAATGAAGTAAAAGAAAAAGTTGCAAAAGCTCTTTTCTCTTAACCTGTTTCTACTCACTATGAGAAGTCTGAAAATCCATTCCTTCTGAATGATCTAGATTTCACCCAGAAGAAACCACCTAGCTTGCCAGTTAGTTGGAAATCGCGGTTTATTTTAAGACCATTAAATTTGAGTAAAAACGATGATAAACCTTGGCTAAACTGTCCTTCTTCTTTTTGGGGCTTTATCAACCAAATTAAAACTTTCATTAAACTTGTTTCCCAAATATATGTTGTCAACAACTGCACATTGAATAGGACAAGCACAATTTGATGTTGGCCGTTAAGCATAGTAGGAATCAATTCAGGGAGTTCGAAAAAGTACAAACTACGGAGAGTGACAAAAAAAAAAAATGGCGCTGACAAAGCATAGTTTAGAAAATATTTATTCAATTTTTCACCAAAATCAGGAAGTTTGTTGAGCTATAGTTTTAGAAACTGCTTTTAAAGAAAATTTTTTCTTGATTATTTATTGATTTATCACTGTTGACATAAACAATATTGTTATACATACATTTTTTAGCAGAAAATTTATTATTTTACCTTAACTATCCCAGCTACAAAGTATTCATCAAAATAAAATTGTTTCATTAAAACGCTTATTTTTAACGCCTATATAAAAATCTTATAAAATTATATGTAAAAAAAAAATTTTCAAGGCAGATAGTACATAAATATTTTGTAAAAAAAAGTAAAATAGATGGAGAAGGGGGGTGAGAAAGAAACAAACTCTCCACCACCCACCGTTAACTCTTTTGTAGGGGCTCTTTATATTAAAAATTAATTTTATAATTGAAATTTGGATCAAATTAATCTTTGTAAACAAGAATTTGATAAAATTTGTAACGGAAAGTTTGAGAGTTAAAAAAGTTGTTCAATAGATATATCCATAAAGTTACCTAAAAATAGAACGTTTTCCTATTTTTCCAGGCTAAAACCAATACACTTTATAAAAACTTGTAAGTAAAAGTATGGTCCTAATTTGTTTTTAATCTTTTCTAATACTTTTAAAATAAATAGTTTGAAAAAGAAAAATTGTTTTTGTTAGTAACAAACGTGAGTTAAATTCGATCGCAAGCGTTATTCTATTTAGATATACTTAAAAATTATACTAAGTTTGTGCGTTTTAAACTATTTTTCTTGACCTAAATTAGTATATATATTTTTTTATTGTAAACTTCCCAACTAATTCCAAATTATTATTTAGGCCTTTTAGAAACAGAATTAGTGTTTTATGTCACTGTTTAAGGTCCCCGCTTTTTGGTTAAAATAGTTCGAGTTTCGGGATACAAGTTGTAAAAGCGGGGACCTTAAAAGGGTGTTTCAATAATTTTTTTGAGCGTAAAATCAATTTTAACCAACCGGTCAACTAATCCAGGTGGTTGGGATTTAGTTGAAAATTTTTTTTGAAAAATGGCGTATTTTAAAACGTATTTTAAAACGTATTTTAAAAAACTGCTGTTTTTTTTTTTACATATCAATAAAGTATTAATGATGAAAAAATTACATATGCAGTTCTTTAATGAGTTTAAAATACCTTGATTTGAATGGTATCTATGATTTACTTAACTGTAGCTATCAAAGGTTATAAAATTAACTAAAATATACATTGTTTCCTAATGTTAATCTAGGGTCCACATTATGCTGATTAGGGCTCCGTGTTTTAATGACTACTGTCTAATATGGATCCTTAAAGTAAAATATTAAATCTGGGCTGTTAGCCAGAATATTAATAAAATAAAATTAAAACAATGTTTATTAAGACAACTAAGTGTATATTGTATTAAATTAATGCATTATTTATAAGTTTCAGTATGATATATGTGGTATAACAGTAAATTAGCAAAAGGGTCCACATTTGGGTGGTTTACCTTATATCTAATAGTTCAATTAAAATTTAATAGAGAATTAATTATCAGTATAAGTCAATTTTCTAATTATACATGTTTTATGTCATAAAATTCTCCTATTAATTTTTAAATTAAAAGCTAATTTTAAAAAAATATGTAAGTTTTACAGGTTTTTGGCCTCGATAAAAATATATAATATTTTTTCCAAATAGCACTTCATTACTATTTTGCTGTCACCATTGCCCTCGATTTAAAGTTTTTTTTTAAATAATTTGGAAATTTTACCCGTCACTGATATCCAAAAATTATTTTTTCGTGAATTTCTTCCAAAAATGTTTAAAATTAAAACAAGAACTTTTTGATAAAGCAATTCTCATAAAACTAAAACTAAACAAAAAAATATATTTTTTAATTTAGCCAGTTTTAGTTTAAGTACTAAACTAATTCTATATCACATATTTTTGGCCTTAAAATGAGGGCGAAAACTTTTTTAGTATGTAAAAACTTCTTCGTAATATTTTTGCTTGCACCATTGCATATATTTTAAGTCTATTTTGAAATCTTTCTTAAACTTCTAGCAATCCCTGATACGACACGAGGTGGGCCAGTGCCTTAAAATTACTTTACGTTATATTTTGAGTCAAACCACGCGTCAAAAATGTTTTTTTATCAAGAGTACAGATTTTGAATAATTAGGAAAACAAAAAACTAACAATTTCGCTCAATCTGTGAATTTATAATGGTGTGCATTTTATAATTTTGGACTTGTGCAAAATTGTAAAAGTGCACTAAAAGTTAAAATCTAATTAATTTCAAAATTTTAAAAAAAATTAAAAAATGACTTTAATAATTTGTTAAAAAAGTTCATAATATTTATTAGCTATGATAATAACTTCTTTTAAAGATTATTTTTTTTTGCGTCAGTTTTAATTTGCAAATTAAAGTTTAATATGCAAAAATGTTTTAACAAAAATAAATTGGAGAATGATAGAAAAATGAAGAACGCGATGATAAAATAAATATGTAATAAAAATATATTAATAAAACGCAATGAAAAAAAAATAGAGAAGAAAGCAAATAAGCAACTAAAAACTTAAGCCTAAAATGTAAGCAGAAAAAATAAATTTTGTAGTGTTCAGTCTATAACAAAGTTATCAGAATTCTATTAAAAGTTACAAAAGTCAAATTTAAAAAAAAAAATCATCAAAATATGAATAAGATATCAGTAAATGCATACCTGGTCGATTACAAATTGACAAGCACTTATGTATCCTTTGTTATCACATTTTTCACTAATTAATTTTAAGTTATACAATGATGTTTTTGAGTATTCGTCATGAAATATATTCAGAGATGTAAAACTTTCTGCCTCTTGATCACATCTTAAACGCAAATTTTGAACCAACGCTTCGCTTAATCTACTTACTTTTACCAAAGGCTCAACATCTGTAAAAATATGAAGGTCTTTAAATTTCTCAATTTGAGAAACATAGTATTCTAGTTCATCAAGCGAGAGTTTGCTTTGATTGTCTAGACATCTGCTAAGTCTTTGTTTTGTATCTTCGTAACACCTCTCAATATGAGTGTTTACAAAATCAATGGATTCCTTTAAAGTTTGTCTAACCTCATTTAACTTTAAAGTAGTAAACAAAAATATAAGTTCAACTATTTTATATTTTATTAGTTTATAGTTGTTAGTCTTGGCGGCACATATTATAGCAGACTTATTGTACTCGGCTTGCATGTACAGAGCATTTTTTGATCGTTCGGTCATTGTGTACTTAAACACTCGCTTAGGATCATCAATGCAAGGTGTTTTAATAATCTTATTTAAAACATCTAAAGGATTATCATTGATAAGATCTAAAGATTTTCCATTTTTTTTAGTTTTTTTTAACATATCTTCTAGTATCGCTTTGAATGTTTCGTCGTTTTGCTCAGATATTTTTTCAACACTAATGTAAATGTTAAGAAGACTTGTGTGAATGTCAATGTCCGGATATTTAGTAAAAATATAAGAAAATGTAGACAAATATTCTTCAATGTTTATTACCATATCCTGAATCATTCTTGTCATTTCTCGAATACCTTCACCTCGACCACCTTGATTTTCATAATTCATTAAAATGACCGGTCGAACGCTTTTGCAACACTTGATTCCTTCAACAATACTTATACTGTTAGCAATATCTACTTCAGGGCCAGCAGTATCACCAAATCTTGGTGAGTCACATAGCATTATAAACTTATCCGTAAATGCGCCCAGATCTTTTAAATTAATTTGAATTGGGTTTATGTATCTAGTTTCTGATTCAGCGCGAAAACTTATAACAAATTTAGATAAAGCATCTGGGAGTGGTTTTGCTGCTGTAATATGATTAAGAAACTTGCCAGGTTTAATTTCAACTTGTTTTTCAACCATTTTTAGAACCGGATAAAAAATGAATAGTGGCTGTTTTACCAGATCCCGTCATACCTAATAAAAGTATCACGTCACGATTTTCTATCAGATTAAAGTTTTCATAAGCTTTTTCTAACAATAAGGTTATTTCTGTAATGTCCAGTGGTTGAATTTGCTTAAACAATGATTCAAGAATTTGGAGTGCTGAATTCAAGTGACCCATTTTAATTAAATTTACAGCTCTTTGTAAGTTTTCTTTTATTTCGTTGTTAAAGTTGCGTCCCTCAGTAGCATAACTCTCATTTAAAGACAGTAAGTAAGTGTCAAAATTTATTGGTTCTTCTTGCTTCTTAAATAAATTAGTAATGTTGTTGTCAGGTAAAATTTCTAAGCGGATTAAATAAATTAAATTTAAAACAGACTTCTCGAAACAATCGGGCATTATCGATATTCTCTCTTTTTGTTTTTTTAATTTGTTAATAATTTCGTCAGAAAATTGTACTTGGCATTGTTTGGAACTACTTTTATTTACGTCAGAGTATATTCCACCTTCTTTTTTCAAAAAATCTTGACCTGGAGATATTTCATTTATTAGGTTTTTTAGCTTTTTAAACACTTTTGTTGGAATATCGTGTTCAAAGTTTTTTAAAACTTCTAAACAAGACAGTGTTATTTTATTTAACAAAGTTAATTTAAGCTCTTCATTAACTTCGACGGGTCTCCATAGTTTTTCCAAAAATGACCTAATATTTTTAACGTCTTCTATATGATTCAAGCTAAGTGAACTATATAGCATATCATAAATGTTTTGCCCAGTTATACAAAAATCATGACTTTTTATAATATTTGATAATCTATCACTCATTTGCTCCTGTATATATATGTGAAGGTTGCTTGGCACATTCAATACTCGAAGTTGATTGACAATAAAATTGCTAAAACTAATCTGATGACTATTTGAATCTTGATTATACTTACTTTTAGTGTTGCTAGTTAATATCTCTCCAACTGAGGACTCCAGCTTCATAAATATTCTAGGTGGAATATCATCTTTGTGTTTATACAATCCTTTTATTCCTTCTTCAAGTATAGCATTTAACAATATATCATTTGTATCAATAAAATCCGACACTTCAATGGTTAACTTTAAAGAATTTTTAATAGTTTTTTCTGGATTGAATACAGTTGCCGTACCTGAAAATAATTTTAAACTTTAAAACGTATGCGCTTACACAACCACACAAACCCATACACGTGCCTATATTTATGAAACATAATATTTAACTATTAAAAAAAATTATATAATGGCAATATTTTAACTTACAACAGTTGCTATCAGCCAGAAGCTCGTTAATATATATATATATATATATATATATATATATATATATATATATATATACATATATATATATATATATATATATATATATATATATATATATATATATATATATATATATATATATATATATATACTTATATATGTATATATATATATAAATATATATATATATATATATATATATATATATATATATATATATATATATATATATATATATATATATATATATATATATATATATATATATATATATATATATATATATATATATATATATATATATCTATGTTTGACGGTATATATGAGTTAAAAATTTATTATATTAAATATGTTAAATAATACATTAAATTTAATCTATAAAGTAAATTTACTTTTAAACAAAAATTATTATTAAAAAATTTTAAAAAATATATATTTATATTTTCTAAAATGGTATATGTATATATATATTTTTATATATATGTATATATATATATATATATATATATATATATATATATATATATATATATATACATATGTATGTGTATGTGTGAGTGTGCATATATATATATATATATATATATATATATATATATACATATATATATGTATATATATATATATATGTATATATATATATATATATTATTAATATATATATATATATATATATATATATATATATATATATATATATATATATTTATATATATATATATATATATATATATATATATATATATATATATATATATATATATATATATATATATATATATATATATATATATATATATATATATATATATATATATATATATATATATATATATATATATATATTATTATTATTAAAATATTTCTCAATTTTATAACAAGTTTGACTTTGGGCTGTATAAAGATGATGGGTTGGCCGTAATTAAAAACGCCAGCGGTCCACAAATGAAAAAAGTTAAAAAACATATAACTCAGATATTTAAAAGTAACAGCCTTAATATTTCTATTCAATGCAACATAAAAATTGTGAATTATCTTGATATTACATTAAATCTTAATGACTGCAGCTTCAAACCTTACCATAAACCTGAAAGTTTGTTAAACTATATTCATGCCAGCTCTAACCACCCACCAAGTATTTTAAAACAGCTGCCGACCTCTATTGAACAAAGATTATCATCAAACTCCTCTAGCAAAATAATTTTCGAAAACTCTTCTTCTATTTACAAAGAAGCCCTTATAAAGTCTGGACATAGCAGCAATATCCAATATCGTCCTAATTTAAATTTACAAAAAACTAACCATCATACTAATAAACGCAAACGAAGCATCATATGGTTTAATCCCCCTTTTAGTAAGAATGTTGTCACCAATTTAGGAAACTTTTTCTTGAACTTAATCGACTTACGTTTCCCAGCACACCACAGGCTACACAAGATTTTTAACAGAAACACCGTCAAAATAAGCTACAGCTGCAAGCCAAATTTCAGTCTCACAACCAACACATTTTGCGTACCCAAAATACCGAAAACGTTAGAAAATGCAACTGTATAGACAGAGCTGCGTGTCCTTTAGAAAATCAATGTCTAGCTAAAAATATTGTTTACAAAGCTACCGTAACACCAGCGAACGTCAACCACACTAAGAAATCTTATATTGGTATTAGCGAAAACTCCTTCAAGATCAGGTTTGCAAACCACATAAAATCATTCAACTTGGTCAGGTATAAAAATGACACTGAACTTTCTAAAGAGATCTGGAAACTTAAGGAAGCAGGCATTAAACCAATAATCAAGTGGAGTATTGTTAAAAAATGTCAACCCTATAACCCATCCTCAAAAAGATGTAATCTTTGCATTAATGAGAAATATTTTATTTCAACATACAATAAAGAACCTTTGTTAAATAAAAAAAGTGAATTGGTTTCAGCATGTAGGCGCAGAAAAATGTTTTTGCTATCGAATTTCGACACCGGTTAAATAAATTCCCGTTTGGCGTGAAAACTGACGTTTGATCTCGTTGCAACGCAATTTTGTATTTTTTAACGGTTTTTATTTTAATGATTTTTAAATATATGGCTGAATGATTGCCGAATGGCATGAAACTTGAAGACCCATAAAAAAGTCGTATTTTTTCATTTAAATATTTAATATATATATATATATATATATATATATATATATATATATATATATATATATATATATATATATATATATATATATCTGTGTGTGTGTTTGTGTATGTATGTATATATGTGTGTGTATGTAAGTATGTCTATATATCTATGAATGTGTATGTATACGTATGTGTGTATGTGTGCATATGTATGTGAATTTAATTTTAATATTGCATTAAACCTTAAAGTTAATATGAATTTATAAAACAACTCTATACTGTAAAAAAAAAAAATTAAAAAATAAAATAAAATAATTTATTAACTTAACTTTCTACTAATTTTCTTCCTTCCTACTGATAATACAGGGCCGGCGCAGACAATATATATACAGGGCCGGCACGAGTATGTTTCACGTGAAGGGGGAGGGGGGTGCTGACAAAAAAAAAAAACTTTTGCCAACTTAAAAAAAAATTAATAAAGGTCCCCTTTTTCGAAAATTTGCCGACTGCCATGACGACTGTTGCCGACTAACTGTCTATACTACCGAATACCCTATATTGAAAGGGTCGACATTTGCCAACTTCGTAGTCAAAAAGGGTCAAATTTGCCGACAAAGGGTCAAATTTGCCGACTAAAAATCACTGTTGGTATAACTTAGACTTAAAGTCGATTTTTAAATTTCAAGATTTTAGGCTAATTTAATTCTTACTTTACAATGTATTGTGACGTGAAAAAAGTTATTTGTCTGGAAATTTTAAGTTTATATGATATGGAAGACTACTTAGTTAACAATTGAAGCTATTTGATTAAAAACTTGTAACGTTAAAAACTTTAAAAAACCTTAAGTATAAAAAATTAACGTAAAAACTGTAAGAAAATTGAAGTTAGGCACTTGCACATACTGAAAGGGTTAAATAATAATTAATTTATTAGTCATTAACATCCTTCATATAAACTTCCAGTGAATTCCACCAACTATATTTTTTGTTGTTAATATAAAATAGTCATTTAAAAATTCGATTTTATTTTTATTAGCTAAAGGTTAATTTATTCTTATTTTACATATTAGTGCACATAATAGTTTTGTTTAAATTAAATGGTAAAAATAGTATAAATGAAATCTTAGTCAGTATTTTCAAAGTCGGCACAGTGATAAATGGTAAATCAGTGGTTTTATTTTCAGATTATTCAATAATGTCATTGTGCTCATTTAAATTTCTTATTTCATTTATGTTTATTGATTTTAGTTCCTCATTTTCTATCATCAAAATCATCATTCTCATCTAACTCATTATATTCTTCATCCGCATAAATATCATCATTAGCATTATTTTATATTTTCCTTTTCAGCTTCTTGAAAAAGAAGATCAACTGCGTCTCCATCTAGATTCATTTTTTTATGTTTACATTTCGATCTTGCACAGTTTAGAGATAAAAGAGTTGGGTCACTCGAAAGTATTCAATAATTGAATTGGTCCGTCATTGTAGCTTTCCCATCAAATGTACGCGTGTGCTGTAAAAGAATATTTTTATTTTCTTTATTCCGAGCTTCGATTGCTTCTTCAAAGTACATTC